TAGAGGGTTAAAATGTTGTGGGGTTGTTAACCAATGTCATAAAACAGCATGTGTGTTACTGTTACATGAGAAACTATCTGTTCTGTACGCCTTCAGCTGAAGTACAATAAAATATTTAAAAAAAAAAAAAAAAAACGCTTATGGAATTAATTCTTCTTTGTCAAGAACTCATTCGTACTCAGCACCCTGGTGCTGACTAGCTGCATCATTTATGTGCGTTGTGTTGTCTCTCTGATCAGCTGTCCTTATGTTTAGATGGTACTCTGATAGAATAGTTACTTCTCTTATGTTACCAGTTTGATTAGGGAGGCAGTAAGTCATTGTGACAGAACACGGGCTTTGGAATGAAAGGCTCTACCACTTACTCTCTACATGGCCCTGAGCGAGAGCTGGCTCTCTTATTTTCCTGTTTGGATAGTGGGGATAATAGTACCTACCTCCACGGGCTTGTTGTGAGGATTACGACTGAACTTAAAGCACCAGACAAGTAGTAGTCACTCAACAAATGAGAGGTGCTATTGCTGCTGTTATTATTATTTAGCTCAACTCAATTTCCTTCATGTTGGAATGAATTACAGTTACTTGCAAGAGCCTTTTAATATTTCTTACATAACTCTTTGGCCTAGGAGGAGCCTAGGCTAAAAGCCATAGGGAAAATGCTCTAACCTGATTACACTTCCTGACACACTTCAATAGACAGATTTGTACTGGCATAGGGTAGTGGAGTAATTAATCACATAAATATTAGTCAAAATAAAAGCATCTAATAACCTGCATTCAAATATAGTTCTCAAATTCTCTACAAACTATATTCTTACCCTGTCTCACTGTTTCATTACATGCCACTTAACTCTCTATACTTCAGACTCTTCATTTGCAAAGTGCTAGAAATATTCCCCTTCTCTATTTTCTATGGCTGTTGTGTTTTTAACAAAGGAATGGAATAATAGATATGAACAACCTAGTCAATATTATCATCATCATCACTCTACTTATTGAAAATATAGATTTTGGTATATACTTCAACCTAGTGAATTTCCCCCCAGAACTGTTTTTGATGCCTAGTAGATTTGAAAATTTTATATGAATGCCAAGTAATTTTTCTTCCAAGAAAAAAAAAGATTAACTTTTCTTAAAAACAACCCATCAAACTGACCTTAATATACATGAAGGACTAAAAACTTCTATAAATAATTACTCGAAGAATTGATCACACGATATGTAAAATCTTTACAGAAATAAAATAGATGCTTTGAAAATGTACTATCCATGGTATAATCCACAGAAAAGAAAGGTGGTTACAGAAACTCTGACTCATGTTCCTGACAGCTAATGAAGAAAATTGCCTGCCTCAGAAACAGATTTTTTTTTTTTTTATCTCAATGACAGGCACTTTTGTTTTTCTGAAGAGAAAGTCTTAAGTTCCATTCAGTTTTATATAATGACTGGGTTTTTTTTTTTGTAAAGCATAGGAGACACCTCATTATTAATTCACAGTTTCCTTCTTAGCAGATACGGGCAAAAGAAATGGCAGGATAAATCTGAGTGCAGGAATATCAGTAGGATGCACTGTGATCTCTCAGCTGAAACCTCTGACTATGAACACCAGTATTATGCCAAAGTTAAGGCCATGTGGAAAACAAATTGTTCCAAATGGGCAGAAACTGGACGATTCTACCCATATTTAGAAAGTAAGTAAAATAATTGCCTGTTACACGTGTTAAAACCAAGAAAATTTAGCCTCCTAGTTTAATAGTCCCAGCCTCTAGACAACCTCACCCAAGAGATAGCTCTGCTGGGCTCCACTCTGCACTGACTGGCTGAGTGGCCAGGCGAGGCGCCTCAGCTCACTAGGTCTCAGTCTCGTCTTTAGAATGAAAGATTTAGCTAAATGATCTCTAAGATCTCTCCCAGCTCCAAAATTGATGCTAGATGCCCATAATATCAAATTTGGATCTTGTCTTACTATTTAGTGGAGCTATGTAGTTTGAGGAGCCCTGGTGGTGAAGTGGTTAAGAGCTATGCTGAGCTACTGCTGCTAACCAGAAGGTCGGCAGTTCAAATCCACCAGCCTCTCCTTGGAAACCCTATGGGGCAGTTGCAGTCTGTCTTATAGGGTTGCTGTGAGTCGAAATCAATTTGATGGCAACGGAATTGATTTTTTTTTTTTTTTGGTTTATGTAATTTGAGGAGCAACTAATAGATTGTTTAAATATTGTGAGTTTATAAACCAATGATTTGTGTCTACAAGACTAATTAAAGATTGTCCTGATCATCAATCTAAGTCTCTTCTTGTTGTAAACATGGTAGTGTAATGACGCAATTTCTAGAATTAAGGCAACATCTTCCTGGTGTTTGCTGTTTTAATTTTGCCATCCCCTGATCTGTGGCTGACTCAGCCATGGAGGACTGATTCTGGGCCATCATAATGAACTTTACAGGCACTTCTGGGTTCCTGGAGCCTTTCCCTGGTGCCCTTTTAGATCAGAGGTCAGCAGACAACTGGGCATACAACAACTTTGAGGCCAAATCCAGCCCTCCCTCTCCCTCTTCCTGTTTTTCTGTGGCCCAAGAACTAAGAAAGGACTTTATTTTTTTTAATGGCATATATATATATATATATATACATACACACACACACACACAGACATATATGTGTACATATGTACATATATGTGGATATGTACATATACGTATGTACACACATATGTATACATCAGTGGATAAACAAATTGTGTTATATACATGCAATGGAATACTATTCAGCCATAAAAAGGAATGAAGTATTGACACAGGCGAACCTCTAAAATATGCTTAGTGAAAGAAGCCGGACACAAAAAGTCACATATTGTATGATTTCATTTATACAAAATATCCAGAGTAGGTAAATACATAGAGACAGAAAGCAGATTGGTGGTTACCAGGGGCTGAGGGTAGGGGAAACGGGGAATAAGTGCTTAATGGGTATGAGGTTTTCTTGTGGGGTGATGAAAATGTTTTGGAATTAGATGAAAGTAGTGGTTGTGTAACATTGTGACTATACTAAATGCCACTGAATCGTTCACTTTAAAATGGTTAATCTTATGTTACATTAATTTCACCTCCGTTAAAAAAATCAAAAGAATAATAATATTTTGTGACACATGAAAATTATACGAAATTTAGATTTCAGTGTCCACAAATAAAGTTTTATTGGAACACAGCCACACTCGTTCGTTTACATATTTTCAATGGCTGATTCTTCACTGAAAGCAAAGTTGAATAGTTGTGATGGAGATCAGATGACCTGCAAAGCCTAATATGTTTACTGTCTGGCCCTTTGTGGTAAAAGTTTGCTGACTTCTGTTCTAGATCATTCCAGTCACTTCTCCGAAGTTCTTTAATGGCTCTTTATTTCTCCATGTCTGATTTTTTTTTACCTGTAAAATCATATTAGTGTTATTTATCACCAACTTTTCAAGTCACAGGAGTCTTATAAAGATCTTTCACTGTATCATCATCAAGTACTGTTTATCTATGTGATTAGGAAATAAGTAAATATAACACCTTAAATTTGCTATTTTAATATTCTGAGTGTCTGGGTATATGAAATGATTGTTTCAAGATTTGGCATAACCTGGTCCACCCTCAAGCATTCTGAGGCATCTCCTGTAAGAGGGTAGGTTTTAGAACTTTGGTCCCAGTAGGATTATATTGTGGTTTTATCTAAGGTGATTTTTACATCTGAACATGAAAATATACTATTCACTCCCCAACCCTTAAGCACAAGGAGCCCTGGTGATGCAGTGGTTAAGAGTTCAGCTGCTAACCGAAAGGTCAGCAGTTTGAATCCACCAGCCACTCTTTGGAAATCCTGTGGGGCAGTTCTACTCTGTCCTAATAGGGTCACTATGAGTTGGAATCGTCTCGATGGCAACGGGCTTGCTTTTTTGTTTTGTTTTTTTAAGCACAGATTGGCCCACCAGCAGTTGCTTTGACTAGTGATGAGAAGTCCATTTCAATTGTTCTGACGGCTCCAGAGAAGTGGAAGAGAAATCCAGAAGAAGGTTCTGTTTCCATGCAACAAATATACCCCACTTTGAAATATAACATGTCCGTGTACAATACCAAATCAAATAGAACGGTAAGCCTGAAACTGAATGGGCAGATAATTCTCGTGTCACTTTTTGTAGCTAATGCTGGAACAAGTAACCCTGATGCTGTGATTCACTGCATGTGAATCTGGAAAGATGAGATACTCAAAAGAGATGTCATACAAGATACAGTTGAAGCTAATGTGCAAAAAATTTGAAGAGCTGCCTTCAGATTGTCTTTACAGAAACTCTGTTAGCACAGTGTGATGTTGTTTTTGGAGTGTAGCGCGATTGCCTACTTCACTTTGATGGAGAGCTTTTCCTTGCATAACATCTGTCAGACACTTTCCAAGAAGGAAAAAAATAAATGTTAGCAAAAGAGAGGACAAAGTTCAAGAAGAACATTCATCAATGTGTTATTACAGTAGAACCTGTGAAAGCCGGAACCTGTACACGGTGGAAACCTATCAGAGAAGGAAAACTCAAATATTTCCATTAAAACGAGCAAAAGAAAAGTGGTGAGACTGCACCCTGTCAAAGGCAGAAGACTTCTGAGACCTCGAAAAACAAGGCAGACCCGTCTAGTTCTGACTTTCACAGGTTTCACTGTATTTAGAATTGTTCCCATTCAGTTCCTGGCCATACTCTACTGAGCTAAAGGAAAAGGGTGTTTTAAAGCTGTTCCTGAAAATAAACTTGAAGTTATGGTAAATAATCATGTGTTAAGTCTTGGGTTTCCTTCTAGAGTTGTTTGTTTGGGTGGCACCTGCAGTCGTGGGCTCTAAATGCTGTTTGCAATTCCCTGACCTAGTGGTTGCAGTGTGTGACCAACCGCTCGCTCGTGCTCCCCCGGCTGGAGCCAGACACTCTGTACTGCGTCCGTGTGGAGTCCCTCGTCCCTGGGCCTCCTCGCCTTACTCGGCCTTCTGAGAAGCAGTGTGTTAGTACTTTGAAAGGTAAGTTTTAAAAACCTCAGCTGGCCTGAGGAAATCTGATAAAACTAGAAAGAAGGATGGCAGTTTAGACAAGGATTTGACAAATTCACATCTAACAGAAGCAGGTCGAGGCAAAGGCAGAAACAGCCATCAGCAGAAATGGTATGAGTAGCTGGGACTCTGCCATCAAGCCTAGGGAACGTTAAACCAAAAAAAAAAAAAAAAAAAAGCCAATTGCCATCAAGTCGATTCTGATCCATATTGACCCCGTATGTTGCAGAGTAGAACTGTGCTCTGTAGAGTTTGGAAACGTTTTGGAAACATCACCAGGCCTTTCTTTCAAGGCACCTCTGGGTAGTTTCAAACTGCCAACCTTTCTGATAGCAGCCAAGTGCTTAGCCCTTTGCACCACTCGAGGACTCCATAGGGAATGTTAGGGAGTGTTCGGTCTCT